CAAAAGTCATCGACCGTCCTTCGACAAGATGGCGCTGCACCCCACTACTCAAACCAATTGAGAACTTAACTCCGAGAGCAATTTTCTGATGAGAGAGTCATCGTTCGTGGAGTTCCAAACTTTTGATCCGCAAGGTCACCTGATCTCACACCTCTGGATCATTGGTTTTGGGGAATGATCAAGGCTCGCGTATATCAGGAAAATAAACCGAAGAATTTGGTGGAGTTAAGAGCAAGAATTGAAGAGGAGTGTGCACGAGTGACGCTTGGAGAAGTTAAACATGCTGTGTCTCACATCTCATACTGCCTCCAACTTGTTATAGAAGAAAGGGGCGGTTTTTCCAGAAACCTTTTGTAATGCCAGTTTATTTACAGTAAATTTTATTTATACATGTATGTTCACATAAAAAATTATAAATGTTTGAATTGGTGTTAAAGTTTTATCGTGGGCATTAATGTTTGCGTCCATTATGAGACGGCCTGTGCTTGCTACCGGTGACGAATGCTTACTTGTGACTCGGTTTGGACCTCGGGGACTCTGCCTACTCACAAAAACTTTTAGTAACCAAGCGCAACCTTGGAGATTTGGTGTCTTGGTCTACTTAATGATTGTTTTGTCCAGAAAATTTTTGTAATGCCAGTTTGTTTGCAGTAAACTTTTATTATGCATGTATGTTTACGTAAAAAATGATAAATGTTTGAATTGGTGTTAAAGTTTTGTCGTGGGCATTAATTTTTGCGTCTAATATGAGACATCCTGTACTTACTACTGGTGATGAATGCTTACTTGTGACTCGGCTTGAACCTCGGGGACTCTGGCTACTCACAAAAGCTTTTAGTAACAAAGTGGACCCATGGGTATTTGGTGTCTTGGTCTACTTAATGATTCTGTAAGCAACGAGAAGTCTACCCTATGAAATATCGTTCGGGTACTATCGAAGATATTTACTTTAGTTGACTGTAATAGAGCAATAAACCAAGAGGTTCTTGTTTTGCTTTCCTTTGAGATCGACTGAATTCGGTCAACAATACAACTTCGGTTAGAATTCAGTGATGCCGAGAAGGAGCTCTGAAAGACCTTATACATACTGGAAGAAGGTTTGTTTGGTGGCAACTTCTGAAAAGTTCTTACGGTGTTTAGTTCCTTGACGCCAGGATACCCGATTACCATATAATCCTTAAATGGCACGCACTCCCTGATGTCAAGATGGCGCCACTTTTTCACCGTACTTCCGTTCTCTGATTTGATGATACCGCCTCCTCCCTTGGAGGCTTCAGGAGACCAAAGGTGCTTCAAGGAGTGTGGTAGAGTAGTGTCTCTACAGGCCGTTTGTCCCCCGGGTGTGGACGGATTTGGAGTCGGGCGGTACATTAAGGGGAATCGTTGAAGGATGTTTTCTGTGATCCCACCCCCGTCGCCAACTTTTGTGGATCACAGTTTTCTTAATGCCTTCTTAATACGATGAACCCCAGTCTGGATAGCCGCTTGATAGCCTGATACGCGTGACCAAATCAGAAAGCCCATGAACGTGCGAATCAGCTGATCTATTGAACACTGACGCATACAAACAGCCGAAGACGAGCTGCTTATAAAGCTCATGTGATAAGTACTGACGCGTACAGGCGTGTCATGTGCAGCCGAAAACGGGCTGTTCGTAAAGCTCACGTGAAAAGTTCTAAGCAGACTAAAGGATGATACTAAAAATAGAACCTATCTCTCAAGGGAAACTGGAGAAAAACTAAATAAATCTGTCTCTTTGGTAGTTGTGTAGTCCATTTACATTCAGAGCCGGTTCTCCTAATAGCTACCGGCACCGCTTTGGAAAAATTTGTGGCCAAAAGTTCAAAGGCACCCGAAACCAGGAAAAAGATTTCCTTGGAGTAGAATATTACGTTATCCGCATGCGCATCTTAAAAAAATAACGGCTGAACGGGTACTCCGTGAGGAGATCAAAGTGCAATACCGGCATTCAGTTCGGAAATGCAGTCCGCCTTCGTGTGTAAACCAACAACCGAGCGGCGGCACATTTCTGACGACTTTGATGGGGCTCCGTTGAGCAGATTGAACGAGGCAGAACTTATGACGGACCAGTTCAATCCCTTTATAGAATATCGTCGAAGAGACTGGATTCTAGCGAGAAATCAAATTAAATTTCCAGTGCCAGGGGTCCCATAAACAATAAAAACAAACTACTCATAATGTTATAGTAGTGTAAAACAATCCAGTAGTAGTCTGATCGAAACCATTGAATGGGACACAGACAGCAAGCATCCCACGCAAGTGTCTCAACTGCTGGGATGGGTTAAGCGTTTCACAGGTAACTTATTTCCACCGTCACTAAAGAAAGAGAACAAAGGGTTTGCTTGCCCCTATGAAGCCAACGCAAGCGTTTTCCGGTAAATTAGGTAGGAAACTTCCAAATACGGACAACCCACAAGGTTTCTGAAAACTCTTCGAGAGCCCATCACCAGTTCTGCCCCTCTTGGGCCTAATCTGATATACAGCTGAGTGTATTAGTCAGATCTTGTGCAATGCTGGCGCAAGTAGAACTTAGGGTTGACGATAACTGAGAGACAGCGACTATCGGACGCGCTCCAAGGAGGACGGATCCGCTGGACGGTTGTCGAAGAGTTTTCAGCAACCTGATAAGTAGTGTGTTACGTGTATAGAAACTTTTTTCATATCTGTTGTGTTGCGGTGGTGGCCGAGCTATCGGGGGTTACGCCTGCACTGAGCCTGCCAGACTACGCGATAGGGAGAAGACAGAGAACTGGGAACACGGCTGTATTGCCAGGACAAAACGTACAGAGCGTCTGCGTAAATATATAGGATGACTACTTGGCCAAATATGCTCGTTCACTTGTTCGCTGCGTACAGCCAATGGTGGTGTTCCGGCCGTGAACATTCTCAAGCCCACTACGCTG